AAGCCCCCTCTGATCACTGTCACTGTGTCCAGATTTCCTCTGTTACCTGCTAATTTCAGTATTACTTCTGATATGATCTGATATGATTTATAATTTGTTCTACTTCTCTCTGGAGTTCATTCAATTTTTGTTTTATATCTTTCCACTTTTCTCCATTCCTTTTTTCAGTTTTTATATTTCTGGGGTTTTCTTATATCAGCAAATTTATTTGAGAAGAGTTCACTCAGTTTTAAGTTTTTTATTACTGTATTTTTCAATTTCATATTATTTGGGGAGAATTATCAGCCTAAATTATTTACTTCACATCTTTCAATTTTCTTTTTGTTTTACACAGTTTTTTAAGGATGTAGTCTACCTATTTCAATTGGCTTTTAATTTGTGAACAGAGTTTCTAGCACTAGAGTGCCCTTTTTTGTTAGTCTATCACGCATTCTCAATGTATTGTCTATAGACACTTTTGTTGCAGTGTTAAAAGTGTCATTTTCATCACTGCTGGTGTTTAGATGGTGACTCATCTCATGAGGTCAGGGAGGGCCTTTTCTCTTTGTGGCATCATATTGTCACTCAAAAAGTTTCAGATTTTGGAGAATTTTGTATTTCAAATTTTCGGACAAGGGATGCTCAACCTGGTAAATGGGAGTGAGGGAGAATCCGTTTCTGTATGTGCTAGACCTGAAGCTTCCTGTGAGTCTCAGAGCTGTGGGCACCCATCTTCCCTTGCCCTGCGAAATCTGTTTCTTTCATTTCTACAAGACCCAACCCTCCTCTCCTATATTCTTTTTTCTGTTTACTGCCACACCTCTAAGGAGTACCAGTCCTCTCTTTGTATCTAACTCTTCTGAAGAAATATTGCTTTTCTCAGACTGCCATGGCCAGTCTTGCTCTTTTCAGATCCTTTCTTATAGATTATAGATTACCAAATCCCAACATATATTCTGAATTAGGGAATTTAGTTAACCTTTTCTCTAGAGGTTATTTTACCTGTGTTTCTCTATGTTTTCCATCATACTCTACATTTTTTTTTCCTCTAGAATTTCTTAAACGTCTTCTTCACCTCTCTCTTGTATCTTAGGTTTCTAGCAGTAGGTGCTGATGTTGGGTTTATTTCTTTACTTACAAGTAATTTGAAGATCATGATGTTCTCTGTCATGATACTGAAGGCCTGTATTGGATTTGGGTTTTTTACCCTTTCCTTGTTGATTTTGTGGGTTTTAGTAAAGGCTTTATGGGTAGACTTGATAAAAGTTAAAATATTCTTAAAATAGAAAGAATTTGCCTGTAATCTCATCAGTGTGGAAGGCCGAGACGGACGAATCACTTTAGGTCAGGAATTTGAGAGAGCCTGGCCAACATGGTGAAACCCTGTCTCTACTTAAAAGTAAACAAATACAAAAGTTACGCTGGCATGGTGACACACACACCTGAAATCCCAGCTACCTGGGAGGCTGAGGCAGGAGAATTGCTTTAACCTGGGAAGTGGAGGTTGCAATGAGCCAAGATCACACCACTACACTCCAGCCTAGCATGACAGAGTAAGGCCCTGTTTCAAAAAATAAAAAGCAATAAAGCAAAGAAAGAATTTATTCACAGATGCATAATTACAATTCACACGTCTTTTAATGAGACTTTATTAAGCATCACTACATATCAAGTAAGATACTGTGCCTACAAAATGATCAGAATGTGGTTTCCTAACATGAATTTGTTTGCAGGAACACACACAAATGCATATTAGTTACAGCACAGTAATACGTAATATTCCCACCAAAATATAGAGGGAAAACCACCTATCTTCATGACAGCCTCTGGGAGGGCTTCATGGTGCTCATTCTTGAACTATGTCTTGAAAGATAAGTAGCAGGATATTAGGAAAAGAAGTTAGGTAAGAATATCTCAGGCAAAGAGAACAAATACAGACCACTGTGTGTTTAGTTCTTCATGTAGGAGTGTCAGCAAAGGAGATTTGAATGTTTACCAGGAACAAAATCCTGAAGAACAATGCCGAAGTGAAAAGATGAACCTTTGAAGGAAGAAAAGGATATTGCTCATTTTTTACTTTAGAAACATCACTTTATTGGAAACAAAAGATAATTTAGATTGTTGTAAGATTGAACTCAGGGAAGTAAGGACGCTGCTAAAATTGTACGGCAATAAAACTGGAGGTATTCTCAAGATATTGGTGACAGGAAAGAGAGAGGAGACTATGAATTAGAAAAATATTTTTATGAGAGAATTCATTGGACCTAATGGAGTATTGGATATGGAGGATAGAAATAAAGATGACAGGATGGTAGAGTGTCTAGAAAGAGATTTAGTTTATAGGAATCTGAGTTTCTAGATTTCACATATTTCATGTTATCTCTATACCAAACATCACTTCCATGTCCAGGTATCTATAAGTGGTTTATCTGCCTGTTGAGCAAATATCATTTTGTCACATTAGACAGTATTTTTTGGGAAAATGGCAATGCCAAGATTGAAAAAGATGGGCTGATAGAGCATAATATAAAATTGAAGACTGGTCACTGGCACATCAGCTCTATCAGCCCATTTTTTTTTCTTTCCAGCTTATGCTTCATGTAATTTTTCTTTTGATATCCCTGTGTTGTATGTCTTAATGCTTAGAAATAAAGTAAAAATACTGCCACATGCTAAATAGCATAGACTAAATATATGTGTGGTACATATAATGTTATTATGACAATTTGAGGATAATCCTGAAGCTAAGCTTCTCAGATGACTATGTATTCATTATAAAAATAAATCACTTTAGAAAAAATGTTTACATTTAGTGACTGATTTTCAAGATTGTATTCATTTCATTTCTGTCATCATTCTTTTGATTATTTACTATGTCTTCAACTCAATGTTACATCTTAGAAATTCAAAATGAGAGCGGTCCCCTCACACAGTACCCTTACAACCAATATTACTGAATCCTTCTACCTATCAAATGCTATGTTAGATGATGCAGTGCCACAGATTAGTTGAAAGTCTAGTTAGTAAAATGGACAGGTTAAAAAAGACCATAGATTTAAATACATGGCATCTTTTTCTAAAAAATAATACTCAAAAGAAGGCTCTCCCTATACTTGAGCTTTTATAGTGTCTCATATTATTAGATTCCTCTTATTGTCTTAGTTATGACTATTAAGATAGTTTAAATTAAATCTTAAATGTGACTTCAATAATGTATACATTTTTACCATATTGCAAATATAAGAAATGTATCTTGCTTTCTGAGATCCTAAAGGATTATTTAGTTGTTAATCTGTTACTGTTAGACACCCAAGTCCAAAGTTTAGTAAAATAATTTGTATATTTCCACATGTAATAAATTCTTGCCAGATTTCATTTAGTAAATTCTCAGCAATTTCTTTTTTATATATATAATAGTTTTTATAATAATTACAAGTCTAGAGTTCTTGAGGGTTTTTTATTATTTTAATGGTAAAGGAATAAGAATTGTGAAAATTGAAAAGGAGAAAAATGTAGTACTTTAAGGTTGTTGATATATCCAGTTTCCTTATGAATTCTTGAAGAATTTTTAAGTTAGTCTATAGCAGTAATATTGCTATTATGCTTTCTAGTAATATTGATTCTGCAGTTTTTAAAACAAAGTAAAGTAGATATGGTGAACAGTAAATTTCATAAAGCATAGTATGTTTATACTTTTTCTGATTTTTGATGTTATATACTATTACAATAATTTCTACATTTTTCAGCAAAAAACTGGGAGAAATTCAGTTCATTCTAAGTATGAGTAAGCTAAGGAAGTTGTGAATGGCAGATTAACAAGAGAATATTATAGCATTGTAATTTAATTTCAAGTTTATAGTGATCCGGAAAACTAAATTAGAGAAAAATAACAATGCAAAAATGTTCATTATCACTGAAAATAATGAAAAGGACAGTATAAGTAAAAAGATGCCCACTTAGCTTTAAGAGTGCTGAAATATAAAGAATGGGAGGTTCAATAAAATAAATATTGAATATGCGAAATATATTTTAAAATCTCATTGGGAAAAAAGTTTATAACTTTACGTTCAGATTTGTGTTCTTGAGCATACATAGACATTGCAATTTAATATTAAGTACTTTCATAGAATCAAGTACTTTCATACAATCACTTCCTATAGCATGCATTCCTATAGCAAATGCATGCTATTAGAACACAGAAGGTATCACAATTTTTCACCTAGGAAACTGTGGAAAGACTCACAGATTTGGTGAGCTAGAGTCTATATGAATAACAAGGAGGATTAATCAGGTTAAACAACAACATCAAGAAAACCTGGTTTTCTGAGGAGGAGAAAACTACTTTCTTTCATTCCTAAATGGGTACTCAGTTACAAACAAAACACTTGGTTGCGAGATTTAAAAGTTTATGCCAATAAATGCTGTCACTTTTCAACTCTTTGAAAACCAAGAGCTGAGCTGCATATTTTATAGAATTTTTCTACAGTAATCATGTTTAATTCCTTGGTCTGCTACCTATGTCACAATCCTATAAACATCCAAGATCCAAACTTAGAGAAAGATGGAAATATATACCTACAATGTGGTCAGATAAGCATTTTCAGTTTTAGAAAGAGAGATAAAGCAAAAGTCCATGCAGATTTTGAATATGATTTTGATTTGTTAAGTTTATTCCTATAAATTATATTGTAGAAAATTCTGTAGTTTACTTAAAAACCATTTAAATTCTATTTGCAGTAGAGAGACTCTTCAAATTCTACTTAATTGGCTTTCTACTTCCATCTGTTCTCTTTTAATCCTTAAATCAGTCCTTGCACTGTGGAATAAACATTATCTTTTGTTAAAACATGATAATAATATGGAAACTGAAGTTTAGAGAGTTAAGCAACTTCACTAAAATTACATGTCTAGAAAGCAATGGAGCCAAAATTAGAATATGTGCCTGCCTGAATACAAAATTAAGGTTCTCAGGACTATAACATTCTTTCATATTCTGATTCTGTTTTTACTCTTTTTCACAGGAATTATTATGGAGAAAAAATTGGCATCTATTTTGTCTTTCTTGGATATTACACAGAAATGCTGTTCTTTGCAGCTATAGTTGGATTAGCTTGTTTTATTTATGGTTTATTATCAATGGAACATAACGCATGCAGGTAAGTGTACCTGAATCGCCCAGATAGAGGATCTTTATCGTGCGCCAAACTCAGCTATTACTATTTCCTTGGCATTTCCTTCAGAATGTTTCCTTATAGCATCAGATAATTGATATTTTCCGAAAAAGACTCAAACATAATAGCTGCCTCTCACCTGGTGCTTTATGGAAAGTCTGTTTTTAATGATGGGTTCTGAAAAGTCTACTCCTCAAAGCATGACTTGACCCACTATAGAAATTGCTGCATGACTGCCCCTTCTGTTGTATGTGAGAAGTTATATAAATAGTTATTCTAATAAGAAAAGATTGGACTTTTACCTAAACACTTATCACTTTTCAATAGCTTGGCTGTTCTTCTTGCAGCATGGAAATCTGTGACCCTGAGATTGGTGGTCAGATGATCATGTGCCCACTCTGTGATCAAGTATGTGATTATTGGAGATTAAACAGTACGTGTTTAGCCTCGAAGGTATGTATGCATTATAATATGTTGAAAATACTTAGAGTTTCCTTCCTTTTTATTACATTTAGTACTCAATTATCTTTGTGATATTGTTATTTTTACAGTTCTCCCATTTGTTTGATAATGAGTCAACAGTGTTCTTTGCAATATTCATGGGAATTTGGGGTGAGTAAATAGTCCAATAAAGAAACAGCTTTCTTCCTATTAATGTGTTATTTGGCCTCTGTATAGCATGTGATAGATGAACTATCTTACATACCAAATGTGGTTTTAGGTCATTGTGTCTTCGTTAGCATTAAAACACTGATGTAGTAGCGCATATTAGTGGCCATTGGCTCTTGGTCCACACAAGTATCTATTAAACATCTGCTCATTTCTCTAAAAGACAACATATTTTTTGAAACATCAAATTATTAACTTCCCACTGTCTTTCAGTGCCATGTTAAAAACAGGCTCAAAAAGTACTTAATTCAGGAGAGATTAAACAAATATTTGGTGGCTAGAGAATATTGAGTCATGTATACAAACTGGAATAAAGACCAAAAACCTGAGGACTAATGAACATTTTTTGAGTCTAAATCGTCTAGTTATAGTTTCCATTTCCACTTTCATTCATTAAAAATCTTATATATAAAATGGAATTTTCCTTAACTCTGAAAATGCCCTGCCCAGGACTTAATTTTTCCATTTCACTTGGAAAGTTGAAGTGTCATGAAGTTTTTTTTTTGTTTCTTCATCAGTAAGGAAAATAATTTCTTTAAGAATAACTCTATTAGAAGAGACCTATAGACTGGCCTAAAATATATCACAAAACATGGGGTTCCTAGGTGAAAATTAGACATTTTTTCAATTAAAAAACAGTCTAACAAACACAAATATGTGCAATTCAAAACCCAGCAAGGGCTGCATTATCCAGGCAAATAACATCAAAATTGGCAGGTATCTGTGCAAAGCAGAGGGATTTATGGCTTTCTGTCATTTCTGCTTGGCTGCTATGGTCTGAGGAGAGCAACCTAGATTCAAAAAGAGAACAAAGGTTCTAGAAATCTTATGAGTGGTTTAACAGCACCTCCAGTTTTGCTAAGTCGTATATACATCCATTTATCATGAGGCTGCCAAATCCTACCTCTCATTACTTGGGAGCTAAAATGAATGATAGGGGCATGATTACAATGAGTACATTGTGAGAATTTTCCATTGTTTCTGTTAAGAGAGATTGTGCACCAACACCGCCTTATATTTCACCATAAATAGGGGAGCTGCTGTGTGTGGAGCACCCCACAGCACTATCAAATGGGCATTGTGAAGATTCACTGTCAGTTATTCCTTTGAGGAAAGTTTTAGTAGTGAAATGATTTAGCTTTGCCTTTTGAGAATTTTGGCCAAATTCAATGAAAATAGAAGTTCAAGGGCATTTGATTTAGTACATTTTCTGATAAACAGTTAAGCTGGATGAAATTATGAGTTGGCAGAGTAGATGTAAAGAAAAAACAATTAAGTTTAAAGGACCTTCACTAGTCCAAGGGGTTGAGGCCTGAAAATAATGAATACTGGTAGGAATTGCTCTTTAAAATTTTTTTGATTTGTTTCTAAGGGAAATATGTATCCATCTTAGGAAATTCAAGGAATACATAGATACAAGAAGAAAAAAATGTTAAATATTTTAAATATTTATCACCTAAAATATGATTGTTATTTTGGCCATGATTTTCTAAAATATTTCACTCTGTGTATGAGCACGTGTGTTCATATAGTTACACGTAAATAATATATGTAATTTTAAACCTGCTCTTTATTATTCAACAAAAAAAAATGAGTGATGGAACTTTTTCCATATCAATGAATATGTTATAGTGTGTATTTGTGTGTGTGTGTGTGTGTGTGTGTGTGTCTGCATGTGAATGTATATTTATGAATAAATAGAATTGCATTTTATGAATGTATCACATTTTGCCTAACCAATTCTCTATTTAGGATGTTTAGGCCACTTCCACCCTTTATATTACTTTTATAAATAATGCTGGAATACAGATATTTTTATATTTGTACAATTATTTATAAGTATGAATTCTTCACAGGCTAATTAGTGGGGCAGTTTTATATTTATAATTTTAAAGCTTTACTATTTATTTCTGTATTCTCTTATACAAAGTTTGCACCAAATTATATTTCTTCAAATATTCTGTGAGTTTTTCTGTTTCAACCCTAGGTAAGCATGAGAAGTAGCATCTTTTTGTCACTTACATTTGATGGATGGGGATATTATCTCATTATGGTTTCTATTTGCAGTTACTAGATCACAAGTGAGACTGATCATATTTTTAATACTTATTGACCATTGACTCTTTTTGATGTTTGAGGTATTTGATTTTTTATAATAATTCACAGATGCTTTTATATAATAAGCACTGTAATCCTTTGTCTGCCACAGAAAATGCAAATTTTTTTTCAGTTTGTAATTTACATTTGATCTCATTCATAATCAGTAGACATTTTAATATCTATTACTGGTCACAAAGCTTTCCTTATGGTTTTTCTTATTTTATGTGTTTCTTTAGAAAACCTTCCCTACTCAGAGATAATGTAAGATGTTCACCTATGCTTTATTTCAGAAATTTAATGATTTCATTTTATTTACACATTAATATAATCAGCAACTAGTTTTTGAAGTTTCTACCCTGGAACAGGTACTATTCTAGGCAATAGGAATTTAAATATGCACATACATGGCCCTTGATTGTAAGGCAAATTTTTAGTTTACATGCCTCCATGATTGTAATTATGTATAAACCAGTCTCATCACTAGATTACTTGCTCCTTTAGGACAAACACCATGGCTTTCATTTCCATAGTTCCAGGACTAGGCATATGGCATGTATTCAAATATACATTGAATAAATGAATAATTTAAATGCTAATGGTATATCTTCTTAAAAATGAAAAAGGTCAAATCCTATTTTAGCACAATGTATAAGGCCCAAACTAAGTATCTCTTTAATTTCCAGAAATCCTTTTCAGGGAATATGTGAATCTTGTGATTCCTATACAGTTATAATCATAAAAGTCCATAAAAATCATGGGAACAATTTTATTTTTAATCCATATCATTTCTCTTTCCTTATAGTACTCTTTTTTGCTGACTATTTTGTACTGTCATTAATTTATGTCACAATCCCATCTATGTTGGCCAACTTTCTTACTTCTACTTCAGCATTAACAAACTTTGAGGCAAAAGAATTTTAAATGCTTAGTGTATTTAAAAGTTTTAGCAGTATATACATGACATCCAATCTCTTGCATAGCCATAGTAACCAGGTACTTCTTCTAAAATTAATGGTAGTTCTTCTATTGTAGTATAAACAAACAAACAAATCTTAAAATAGTTAATAGTACCAAACTCTTGAAACTTCTCCCTGCTAATGATGTACCTACTTCATACCGGAGTAATGAAATGAATAGAGTAAAAGTTTCTGCTCATGAAATTCACAATTAATATTAAATGATAGAATGAATAAATGAATGAAATATAACCTGTTGTTAAGAAAGTCACAATCTAATTGGGATAGAATCTGAAGACTACTTTCGTAGAAGTGCAGTTTAAATGCTGAGGGAGTGCAGAGGAGGACTGAATTACTTTTTTACTGGTGGAGTTATATATGAGGTATCTATGAGCCAAACTCATAGAATCATAGAGTGGAATGGTGGTTACCAGGCGCTGGAGGATTGGGAAATGAGAAGTTACTAATCAATGAGCACACATTAAAGTTTCAATTAAGCAAGATAAATAAGATCTGTACAACATTGCACTTATGTTCCACATAATGAATTGTACACTTTATAATTGTTAAGTGGTAAGTCTACTGTGTTCTTCCCACTTAATAAATGTTTAAATAGTTCTTTAAAGTTTAAATAATGAGCAAAGGAAAACATAAGCCAATGTATACATGAGCAAATGAACAAACAAAAACCAACAGTTAGATGGATGGATATATTTGCACTAGAAAAATATATTTTGGAAGCTGAGAGAGCAATTAGATGACTATAATGATAAAAATGTAATTAGAATTTAAAAAATGTATGGATAGCATCCAGAGTTCCTTACATTATTTAAAAGTTAGAGAGTGAGTCAGAAAGTTGAATCTTTTATAGATGATAAAAATTATGAGTTAATATTGATGGTGTTAGTATTATTTTCCTAAATAGAATACTAGGAAAGGCATGTATATACCCAATAGAAAGGCATATATATACCAACCAATGTCTTTTATTGAAATCATTTGCATATGCCTTTTATTGAAATCATTCAAGTCAGTGTACTGTTTTCTCAGGCTTAGGGAAATATACCTAGGAAGCATAAGAGCCATTAATTATTCTCACTCTTAAAATACGTATACATTCTATATATATGTGTGTGTGTGTGTGTGTGTGTGTGTGTGTGTATAACATAAAACTTTTACATATATATGTATATATATAACAACTTCGGCTTTCTTTTTATGTCTTTATTAGAGTCTCCCTCCGTCACCCAGGCTGGTCTCAAACTCCTGGCCTCTAATGATCCTTCCACCTCAGCCCTACAAAGTGCCAGAATTATCAACTTCAATTGAAGAATATATATTTACAGAAAAGTATATGAAATATAAATTCATGATTCAAAAAGATATGTACAAGAGTATTCATAGCAGCACTATTTGTAATAGCAGATATCTGGAAACAACTCAAATGTCTGTCAGCCCAAGAATATATAATCAAAATTGTGATTTAACCATACAATCTAACACTATACAGTGATGAAAATAAATGAATTTTTGCTGCAAACAGAAACAAAGTTGAACCAAAAAACAAAGCTTGACATGAAACACTATTAGTTGTATATAATTTATGTAAATCCATTTGTAATGGACTGTTTTTTATATTGGTGCTGATTATATGAGTATATTTCGTGAAAACTTTTTGAATTATGCATTTATATTTCATATACTTTTCTGTAAATATATGTTCTTCAATTGAAAGTTGATAATTCTGGCACTTTGTAGGGCTGAGGTGGAAGGATCAGTAGAGGCCAGGAGTTCGAGACCAGCCTGGGCGACAGAGGGAGACTTTAATAAAGACATAAAAAGAAAGCTGAAGTTTTTATATATATACATATATATGTAAAAGTTTTATGTTATACACACACACACACACACACACATATATAGAATGTATACGTATTTTAAGAGTGAGAATAATTAATGGCTCTTATGCTTCCTAGGTATATTTCCCTAAGCCTGAGAAAACAGTACACTGACTTGAATGGTTTCAATAAAAGACATATGCAAAAAAAACCTCAGTGTTTAGTAAAAAGCTAAGTTTAAATATTGCTTCAAATTGTCTGAATGAACAAAGATATTAATATGTCTGAAAAAAATCTTGCTTGGACCACTGACCAAGAAATTAATTTGAAATTTTGTATGACTTTTTTCAGTGTGTTACTGAATACACAATATTATGCCAACATTAGTAACTGATAAATTTTCAAACACAACAGTGACAGAAAAATTTGAACCATCCTGTAACCAAAGTGATTAAAGAGAAAAGTTGATAAAGCTTTTTATTTACTTTTATTTTTTCATATCTTTTTTTTTTATGTTTGTTTATCTATAGTCACCTTATTTTTGGAGTTTTGGAAACAACGACAAGCCAGACTGGAATATGAGTGGGACCTGGTAGACTTTGAGGAGGAACAGCAGCAGCTCCAGCTGAGACCGGAATTTGAAGCTATGTGTAAACACAGGAAATTGAATGCAGTGACTAAGGTAGACCAGAAAACTGTGAAATGGGCAGCATGTCTTAATGGACACATTACTATAGGTTTCTTCTCAAATAATCATAGTTTAATTTGCCTTTAAAATATTCTACAACATATACATCACATAAACTACTTGTTTCTAATACATATATGTGTATATAAATGTTTATATATGAATGTGTATATATGAAAATTTTCAAATACTTTCAAATGTAGGTAGAAAAGTATAATGAACTAACTACATGAATGAACCCATGACCCAGAATCAATTGTTTTTCATTCATGGACAATCTTGTTTCATTCATCCTTTATGTCACTAGATTATTTGGAAGTAAATCCAAGGCATAATAACATTAAACTAAGTGCAAAAAGGAAAATCGTGTATGTGCAATAGGCTTTGTATATAAATATATAGACGTTGAAATAATGCTAAGTTGATATACAAAAATTAAAATAGTATTTATATTCAGATTGTAGTCTTATGAGTGATTGTTTTATCAGACTAACATTTCTTCACATGGCCCTTTTTAATTGATTATATTGAGAATCATTGCAGTGGTGTGTGTGGGGAAAGTCTACATATTAGAATCCTTAGCTGACAAACCAGCTGTGTGTTCTTGACTGAGTTGTTTAACTTTTTGGTAACTCACTTTTTCCATGTGAAAATGGAAGTAACTTTGTCTTTAGAAACCAGAATCTTGGTTACATATTTTTAGAGTCTCTATTTTTCCATAATCTACAGCCACAGTGTTGCTTACTGCTATTTAAAAGAGAATAATATGTGCCCAATGCACTCTTTTCAGTAGAATTCCCTATTCTCTTTGGAAAACCATTCTTGCAACATAACATATAAAATTTCTTTTCACTGTTTAGGCATTCACTATAGTTACTAAATTTCATTGAAAGATCAAGAAAACATCTCAGAAAATACATTGAAAATTTGGGTGGCCGTTTGAAATTAAGAAAATATATTTAAAAATATTGACAGAATAATAACATGATGTTTATTCCTATTTCATAAGATAAAAAATAAAACAAAAGTAGTCTTATTAGCTTTTCTGAAAATTAACAAAAAAAAAGTATTGAATGCTTACATTTGCAGCCAGTTGAAAAACAGTATATATTGATTCACTGTGAATCATCAGCTTCACTTCACTTAGCTTTCATGGTTTAGAAATCAAGAAACAGAATTTTATTTTGTCTTGTTTTTTTCTTACTAGTAGTGCTGTTTCAGTGTTTAAGGGCAACCAGAACACTCACATTTGAGTCCACATTGGGAACACACACGTGCACACACACGAATATGCATACACATGTATAAACACACATACACTGGGTACACACATGAACACACATGTCCACGGTCACATATTATACATACATGCACAAACACTCTGAGGTCTATAGGACTCTTGAATGGCCTACTCTATCCTTGAAAGTTCTATTTTTATTCATACCACCCTAAACATTGTTAAATGTGAAATATTATGGAATTACATGATTTTGATTTCTGCTGACAGCTATTTTTTTTTTTACTGTTTTTTTTTTTTTTTTTTGGGTAAAAATTGGCTTATAGTTTTTTTTTTTTTTTTTTTTTTTTTTTTTTTATGCTATATTTCTCTCTTTTTCCCCCAGAG